AAATAATTATATAATTATAAAAATAAAACTAAAAACATAAAAAATTGAGATTTGATATATAAATAAGACGTAACATAATTTATATTACATTTTCACTTATTCTAAAATAATATTATATATAGTACAATTAACACGTAAAAGTTGTTGGTACTTATTTATTCGATCTAAATACGAGGTAGCCCATGCAGCAGCACATGGATAGCAGAAATGAAAAAAATGTGGAGTAATAGTAGGGATCGAGTATCCTTCTGCCAAGTCTAGTTTCACATAATGATTACGGTTAACATACCCAATTGAAAAACTTACATGTTAATACCACGGTGGCAGAGTAGACCTAAGCGGTAAGTATGTTGAACAACCTGTAATGTCTATAACGTGTAAGATTACATTATACTTTGAAGCAATCAAGACATCAATTGCAGGCATGGTCATCCAATGTTCAACTGGGCCACCTCGATCTAATTGGAAGAAGTTTAAAATATTGTAAACTATATTCTAATACTGACTTCCAAATATGTTGAGGTATTCTGTCTTGTATGCATCTAACTCTTTCATCAAGTTAAACCAAATTGTTGGCCATGCATCTTCATGAAGACCAAGGTGGACAGCTATTGCTCGAAATCCACAATTTCCATCACCTCTCACATCATGTACCTGTCTGATGTAAGGGTGAAACATTTCAGGAAATTGATAAATATATGAATGCGCATTATAATTATTGTTGACGAAAGAACTATGTCTCGCTGGTTCCTCGTAGCTTATTTCATTCAAGTCAACAAATGATGATGCGTTTGAACAGCTACGTCTAAGGGGTCTTTCAGCTGTAAAAGACGGATCAACAAGAGGTTTTCTGAAAAGTTTATCCTTCAACGAGGGACGTCCACGAGTACTCTTGTTAACAACTGGTTCACGAACCCACGTTTTTGATGCATTGGTTATCTCTTTTATCTTCCTTACAAAACTAAACTTACCAGATCTCGATTGTTTTTTAAATTACTTGGTAAACATTTGGACTTCATTTTCACAACCAATATCATCATCTTGTAAAGACTGGCACGGTGATAAATCAAGCTTTGTCCAAAATACATCAATCGAATCAATTGGGATATGATGACTTTTGTTGGAATATAGCATTTGTTCATGTGCACATGACAACCCATAACTTGTACGTAGTAGACAATTACAATTTATAGAGAATAAGCTAACAGATTGAACATGTCGATATTTCTGGAGTATTATGTCTAATGCATAAAGTGAAACAAAACCACACAGTTGTTGGAAGTGTGGTATGCGATGAAGATGTTTCGTGACACTTTTGATCTCTTCAATACTTGCTCTAATTTATGTATCCTAGGATTGAATGAATTGATTGATCTTACTCATAAATGTCGGTAGACTTGATTACGCAAAATCCAAGTAAGTTTTCAACTTGGAATGTTGGCTCTCCACTCTGTTACTTGTCTGATTTCCGAAGTGGAGAAATTTGTCAGTCCAAACAGATACAAACATTTCTTTAAATGGGGTCAACCATGTGTCATTCAGATAAGAAAAATAGCTGAAAAATTGACCAAAATTAGTTTAATTCCATGAATAATAGTTGTTAAACCTATCAACATTTTTATTTACAATACATTCGAGTGTACCTGGATAGCTGAGCAATACTGCTTCAAGTTTTCCGAGATTAGAGAGGTAAGTTTCATTTGATTTCGAAGCAATTAATGTCACCCATATATCGTAAAAGGAACTTCAAGCACAGTTTGATGTTATTGTTGGTCTACAATTTCTCATGATACTTTGGTAGATGTGCCATCTACAAAGTAATCTTTTAGCACCGGGAAAAACAATAATGCATGCTTTCTTCAATGCCAACTCTCTATATGTGACGATCACACGTGGATAAAGACATCATTCCATTAACCATTGTAGACAATTTAATGCCCAAGTATAATTGGATATCTTTTCCTTGTACATAAAGACAAATGCTACGCAAAATGTCTTATTAGTTGAAGTTACACCAACAATTTCAAGGAGAGGCATCTTAAACATGTTCGTTTTATAGGTGGCATCCATCAACAACACGTGTGGAAATGCATGCCATATCTTCAATGATCTATGATGAGCAAAGAATAGATCTTCCAATTTATTGGTCGAGTCATTTGCCCGATAATATACGTAGCCTTCATCCTGTAAAAATAACATCACAACTTGCATTGGAGTTCTACCTGCATTCTTCTTAAGTCGAAGTTTCTGGCATTGATTGTATATCGTCTTTTTTATAAACACATTATCTGGATACTGTTGTTTGATTGTTGATAAAATATCTCTAGGTTTCACATTGTTGGCCGACAAATCTTCCACCAATCGAGCTTGAGTTTCAGATACTCGTCTTGCATATGCATGACCCTCCAGATGTAATGCAAAGTCATGRTTATGTGCTTCACATTTTGCAGTTAACGTCCAACAATCATTACCCAAATGCTTTCCTACCAAGCAAAATGGACAATTTGTTTTTCTTGTCCCAATATGTTTACTGGAGGTTTTGTTACCTTTGTGTATACCGCCACAATCACATTGCAATACAACTTTACATGGGTCCCTACATGAGTCACTTTTGCTTCTTTTGATAACAATAACAAAACCAAGTGAAAATGCCACATTGCGTACCCAATCAATTAGATCTTGACGAGAATTAAACACCTGAAATTGACTTTGTTAAGTTACAACTACTAGTTATACCATATAATTTAACAAGAATAAATGAAACTTAAAGATACCATATCGGTAGAAAATGCAGATGGTTGAGGGTTTCCGTAAGCTCCAGTTGATTTGTTTGGATGCAGATTGTCATCTTCTCTCCAATTCAACATTTTATAAATTTTATATCGGTAGAATGGATGTCACATTCTGAATAGTAAACAAAGTATAATACTAGTTATATAATATAACTTAAAATAGTTATAATGATAATATACAATAAATATTACCCCTCTATTTTTTATTGCTATGGCTGTTTCCCTATGTCTAAAGCTATGTGTCTCAAATCTTTAAGTTTTCCATAGAAATAGACCAATAGGGAAGATTTCTTCATCCATCCTTGAATACCCACTTTCCATTTCTACTTTTTTTCTTTCAACAAAGTTTCCAAGATGTTCTCTTTTACTCCAAACTCAGATGGGATAAACAGAAAGGTCTCTTTTTTCAGTTTTTTAGATCATAAACATGGATATACAGAAGAAATCAAACCTGAAAACCCCATTAAAGAACATTAAACAACAAATATTAGTGAGATAAAGAATATACATCATGAAAAAGATAGGAAGATAGTGAAACAAACAATCGATAGTGAAACAAACAATCTTTTTATTTACCTCCACATCCGTGAACAAATCTTCCAACTCAAAACCTCTAGCTCTTTTCTTCTGTAAAACCAATAAAATGGTGAAAACCTCCGGCTCTTTTCTTCTGTAAAACCAATAAAATGATTTAAGATGCCAAGATGGAATAACTTAAGATGCCAAGATGTATAGATGAAGTGACTTAAGATGCCAAGATGAGTAGTGTCTAGATATAATTGAGAGTGAATAGGGTCTAGATATTGTGGATAAATGCATAGATTAATACCTTCAAAATAGTCTATATTTGTATATGATTTTTTTAATATACACTTTATACCTTTATAAATATTATTAAGTTTCTTTATTTTCTTCCTTTTTTACTTTTTATTTTATATTATTCTTATATTTATATTATTACGATCATATAATTAAGTATTAAAAAAATTCAATATTAGACTATTTTGACGATATTGACGAGATGATTATAACAGTGTAACTTGTTAAAATAAAAATATATTTTTTGACGTATTATAGTTTAATATACGATTACGTATGTTAATGTGATAAAAGTGTAAAACGAAAAATGAAAAAGTAAGAGATGTATTCAAAAATTAAATAAATATAATGGTATAAATTGTAAGTAATAAAAATATCCTTTTGTAATATATATCATATAATAATATAATTTAAATAAAAAATATTTAATATTAATAAATTTCGAAGGCATTGTACGGGTTCACACTAGTATATATATATATATATATATATATATATATATATATATATATAATATAATTTAAAATAATAAAATATTAATTATAGATATGTGTATATAGGATGTGTATAATAATAATTATAATATATATATATAGGATGTGTATAATAATAATTATAATATATATTATATTATTTGATTGATTATGATCTTTTATGTGTTTTAGTATGATTCAAATCCCAAGGCATTCAACACTCCTTATTAGGGGATGTTGAACGTTTGAGAATTGTAATACCTTTTAAATTTATAAACATCAAATCGAATTTATTAGGGGACGTTGAACGTTTAGTATTTAATATATATATATATATATATTAATTAAATTATATTATATAATTATATATATATTCTTTATGTATACTTTACATATATTATATAATATTTTTATTTATATTTTTATTATAATTTTATTATCTTTACTTATATTATATATATGTGTGTATATATTTACTATTATAATATATATATATATATATATATTATAATAGTTTAATTCAAAAAGTTAATTTTTATAATTAATTAGTTATTTTAATCGACTAAATATTTATAGAAATCATTTGTATTGAATTTAAATTAAGAAAAAAGTTTAAAAACTTAAAGAAATTGTTCCATTTTGAATTATTAAGTTTCTTGAAACTTTTTTTTATTGCATAAGTTGTTGAACTTTTTTATGTTGATTGATTAAGTGGTTGCATTTTTTTTAATAGTTAAATGATTGAGCTTATATTAGAAAACTAGTTACTTAATTATTTTAATCTTTTTAAATTTGTATAAGTTAAAAGTTATTTTTATAAAATGACTTAAAAAATGTAATCACTTTTACATAAAGTAGTATTTCAAAATTCTTGGGTTATTTTAATTTTTTAAAAACGATGTAATTAAAAAAATGTAAAGAAAATAAAATAAAAAAGTTAATATCGTGCAACTCACTGAGTCATAGTTATTTACAAAAAAATCATTCTTACATATATTTTTTAATAAATAAATCATCGAACCTTTAAAAATTGGTTACTTGGATCATTTCAACCGAAAAATGCTACATATCATGGTTTACTTGTCTCACAGATCAAATAAGTGAAAAAACGATTTTAAGTCACAGTTTTCCTGATTTTTAATCTATCCAAATAATTGTTAAATAAATTTTTTATAATACGTAAAGATCTGATAATAATATTATTAT